AAAAAAAAATTCATCTTTAATTTATCTCTCTATTTGTTTAGCAGCAATTTATTTGCAATATGTAAAATGTCTATTTAACTTGTGTCTTCTTTCCTGCCCTTTTTGTGCAACACCTTTTTCCCATTACTCATTAATCTCTTTAGTCTGTCTTGTTATAGTTGCACTCCAGCATACCTGTGATTCTCATGTTTGCAGTTATTATTCTGTATATGGATATTTTACCTGATTTTTTGCCTTACTTTTTTGTCAGGTCTTTGCTCTAATATTATCACCTGCTAATGTCTTGACCTGTGTCTTGGGTTAAAGATTTGGATTTTATTCTTTCTTGGTGTTTTATGTCCTGCATTTGGATTCTTTCTCTGTGGTTCATTATGCAAAGATGGTGGTTTTGATTCAAATAAACCCTTTGACAGTATTAACGTCTTAGAGGCTTCTTCTCCATTATCGGGGTCACTGGGGTGATGTGACCTGCTCCCCTGCTCTATATAATTTGATTTCCTGAAAGGAAGCAGCAGAAGAGCATAAAAGCCAACTTCACCTGCTGGTTTAGGAAATTTTCAAGTCAATGCATTTAAGTAAGAGGGCTTGCTGAAGTTCAAACTGAGCATCGGAAAGTTCACTTTGAAAACTTTGAAAGTGGCCTGGTTGTTGGTGTCAGGCAGGTCTGAGTGTTTCAGACACTGCTGATCTGCTTTTTCCCACACAACCATCTCTGTGGTTTACTGAGAATTCTCAGGAAAAATAAAATGTTCAGTGAGCAGCAGTTTTGTGGGAGAATATGCTTTAATTGATCCCGAAGGTCAGAACAAAATGGTCAAACTGCTTCAACTAATAGGAAAACAACAGTTACTCAAAGGACCACTTGTTACATTGTAGCCAATGTATGTAGAAGAGCATCTCTCAGTGCACCATATGTCAAAATAGATGAGTGAAAATTTGTTCCCTGGTCTGATGAGTCTCAGTCTCTGCTGTGACAATCAGATGGTAGGGTCAGAATTTGGTGTAAGCAGCATGTAAGCATGGCTCCATCCTGCCTGATATCAATGGTTCAGGCTGCTGCTGGGGTAACAGTGTGGGGGATATTTTCTTGGCACACTTTGGGCCCCACTTTGGCTACTAACTGCCCATCTTTTAAACACCACAGCCTCCCTGAACATGGGATGTGGTGGAACAAATGAGTCATGGATCAGCTGTACATCATGGATGTGCAGCTGATCAACTGTGTGATGCTCTGTTGTCAACATGGACCAAATTGTCTGAGAAACGTTTATTGCAGTTTCCTAAATATATGACAGGAAAAATCACAGAAACTCTGAGAGCAAAAGTTGGTCCGAGTAGCATATAACTAATGAATATTAGAAATATCCTGTCTCAGAGTGACGCTGAAAAACTAGTTCATGCATTTATTACTTCCAGGCTGGACGACTGTAATTCTTTATTATCAGGATGTCCAAAAAACTCCCTGAAAAGCCTTCAGTTAATCCAAAATGCTGCAGCAAGAGTCCTGACAGGGACTAGAAAGAGAGAGCAGATTTCTCCTGTATTGGCTTCCCTTCACTCCCTGAGCCTGGTTCTGCTGTAGGTTTCTTCCTGTTAAAGGGGAATTTTTCCTTCCCACTGTTACACCTTGAGGAAACTCTTGTTGTGATTTGGTATTCTAACTAAAATGGAACTGATTTTTATCCATATTTTGTATATAGAACACCTTCTATTCATTTCCAGATTGATATTCCTAAAATCTGCTAGAGGACTTTGATTGAATCACGGTACAAAATGTCGTTTAGGAAGCATGAGCTTTTATTTCACAGAGACTACTTGTACACACACCTCGTTATCTGAAACCCTCTTCTTAAAAATGGTAAACACAGTCCCTTTATGTAGACTTTCAATATATATATGACAAATAAACCTTGTCTTACGTTACAAGTGTTATAAGCCGTTAACTGATTGAACTTTTTTAATTACGTAAGTGTAAAATTTTCTTCATCTTATAAGCGACCTAGATTGGGGTGGTGGGTGTTATTGTTGCCCAGCTGCTTGCAGTAAATTGTGTTTGAAGATTGAACCGATAATGCTGTGTGTTGCACTGCAGGTCTGCAGCCTGTGTTGATGCTATCAGTGAAGCTTGAACTCTAGCCATCGCTGAGGGGTGGTCACACACACACACACAGACAACGGATGACTTAAGATAAGTACACGTTAACACAGAAACAAGCGCAAGAGCTAAAACCTCACAGATGTTATCACAACGACAGATCAGCTTGTGGTTTAACTATGTTCCGATAAATGCAGACTGGTGCAGGTCGTCTTTGTTCGTTTCAGATTAAATCCCCCTACATGCTTTCTAATGTGCTTACGAATGTCAGTGTACCCCAGAATTACACATGAGTCATGGCATACATGCCAGTAAAATGAGCTAATATAAATTTCCTAAAGGTGACAGCGAGGCCTGTGGCACACACCAGCAGTCACTGTTGGGTTCGTGATCTTTGTATCTTTCTTCAGCCGTTTTTAGTCAACGTAAAGATTTTACTTGGTGTCAAAACAAAAAAAATCCTCACAGGTGTAAAAATTACAGTTTCAGAAGCTGAAATGTACCGAAATAACTTCGAGTGCAATGTTTACAGTCGTGCCTAAAACAATGGAGTAAACCTGATGAGGTTAGTAGATTTATATACTGTATATTGTATGGCATTATTAGACTAATACAGAAGCATTGATTGATTGATTCAACTGAATTTTGCTCCTTCAGGTGGAGCACGTTTTGATCATTTTGTATACAATTAAGGGATTTAGTCAGGTTGTGAGCAAAAATTTGGTCCCCGGTTGAATCAGCACATGCAACCATCTTTTCATAGAAGTTGCTCTCGCGTCTGCTGGTGAAACTACTCAAACCTGCTGAAACGTGGGCTTGTTTTAAAAATACACCAAGGCAGAAGTGGTGCTGCACCAACCTGTTTTAAAAGGTAATTCAGTTCTAGATTTTGCTGTTTCTCTGGTTATTATCTCTGAATATCTTTTACCATTTTTACAGATTCAAAGAGTTGTTCAAATGAAAACAAGAGACTGAGAAACACTGGATGACAGTTTTTTAAAGATCTGTATTTAATGAGTTTATAAAGATCTTTTTACAGCTTTGAGCTTGAGGCAGCAGAGTAAAAAGCACTTTTGTATTATTATTTCTTTACAGTTCTTGCCCTGCACAAAACATACCTAACACACATCTGATCACTCACATAAACGTCTAACAGTCTTTTCAGAGAACTTGCATACATTTTTTTATTTATTTTTAAGCCAGTTTTATGAAAATACAAATACAAAGCGAAGCCATAAGGCCTTAAAAAAGCAGTCAATTATTAACTAAAGCCGATAGCTGATAGCTGACGATCTTTGTGGCAGCTAGCTGCTGCCTTCAGTGTTGTGGAGCCGATACATGTCCTGAGCCCACTGGAAGCTCTGAGTGTAGCAGATCTTTTTTCCTCTGACAGTGTGGACTCTGCAAAACATGCACACAAAAATCATTTTATTCACACTGCTTTGATTGAGTTCTTGCAGACGGCCTGTCTAAACTTCACATATCCCTTTTTATACTTTATTCATGACCAGTCCTGTTTGAAAATATCAAACTTACATGTACGCCTTCTTGGGACAGGAGCTGTG